ATAATGGCCGCTTCCTCTTGTGCTTGAGCCATCTTGATCTGCCACTGGGTGGTCCAATTTGTCTGGGTCTTCCACCTGTTGGGTTCATTTGTTGGTCGGGGCATACTGTCAGGATTCGGGTGTGTTGTTGAGATGAACCCTGAGTGCAGGCAGGACTCGGACACACGAGGAGTAAAAACAAACAAAATACTTTAATGAATACAAAATAAAGGCGCTGATGTGGCAGCTTACTTACAAAACCTAGGAACATGTAGGTAACCTCGATACAGGGAATCAGGGAACTCGGGAAACCAGACGATGACAAGTCGCTCATAAGACGATGCCCCAACAATGAGTGACACAAAGACACAGACTTCTATACACACCCACACAGAGTGATAATCACAAACACCTGGATGACATGAGGGTGGAAATAATCAAGACAATTAACAGGAAACCAGGGAGTGTAAGGATGGGGACCCGCCACCAGAGGGTACCATCCTTACAATTTTAGATCTTTTAGCGTACCATTTGGCGTTCGTTTAGCATATATCTTAGTGTATTTCTTAGATCCTTATTTACTGTTTCTTTTTACACTTTATATTTTTGCTATTTTGGGTATAACTGGGACCTTGAGTAAATAATTTTGTTCCACCTCATGTACCACACATGATGCAAATGACAAAAACTTGAATTTGAACTTGAACTTGAATTATCAAAAACAATGGTAACATAATGGACAGCCAACAAGCCCGTTTCCAAACAGTTTTTACTAACCTTGTTATCGTCTCCAGTGACCTACAAGTCCTGATTGGGGACTTGGCAACTGTGAAGTGAACTGCGGCCCCTGGTCAAAGACAACATCTGTTGGTATTCCATGGATCTTAAGCATGTGTGGGATGAGGAGCTGTGCAGTCTCAAGAGTAGAAGGGGGCTTGACCAGAAGGACAAAGTAAACAGATTTAGAGAATCTATCATGAATCTATCAGTGAGGATGGTGGTAGTACATTCAGAGGGGGTAGACCAGTGATGAAGTCCAAGGAGATGTGAGACCAAGGACGGCTGGGGATAGGCAATTAGTGTAGTAGCCCAGCAGGGGGATTGATTTCCGCTTTTGCTTTGTGCACAGGTGGTAAAAGTGTTAACAAACTTTTTGATATCATGGTTCACGTTGGGCCACCAAAAGTGCTTCTTGGTGAGCAAAAGCATATGATTAACACCAGGGTGGCAAGAAAACTTGCTGGTGTGAATCCACTCCAATACTCTAGCTCTAACCGCATTAGGGACAAACAGTGTGCCTGTAGGACCAGTACCTGGATCAGGTTCTGTCTTTTGGACCTCCAGGACATCCTTTTTGATGGGCCACGTGAGGACACTGACCATGCAGGAAGGGGAAGAACACCTTCATATAGGTGTATCAGAGAAGAAGAGTTGTTGAGACAGGGTGTCAGGTTTGATGGTTTTGGACCCGGGTCCGTAAGTCAGAGAAAAGTTAAAGCAAGCAAAAAAATAGTAACCAGCGGGCTTGTCTGGGGTTTAGCCACTTTGCATTCTGGATGTAGGTTAAATTTTTGTGGTCGGTCCAAATGAGAAAAACAATGTCAGTACATTCAAGCCAGTGTTTCCATTCGTCCAGAACTATCTTAATAGCCAAGATTTTTCTGTTACCTACATTACAGTTTCTTTCTGCAGGAGACACATTTTGTGAGAAGGTGCGGGGAGAAACTTATTGTCAGTCTGTGTTTTTTGGGAAAGAACTGCTTCCACCCCGGAGTCAGAGACATCTATCTCTAATATGAATTGACTTGTGGGGTCTGGGTGACAGACAATGGTAGCCAAAGAAAAAAGGCGCTTCAACTCACCGCAAGCAGTGTCAGTCTCAGGGGTCCATTTAAACATCCTTAGGGAGGATGTCAGTTGAGATGGGGGACTGCTATTTGTCTGTAGTCTTTGATGAAACGTCTGTAGAAATTGGTAAAACTGAGGAAACGTTGCAGTTGATCACGGTCTTCTGGAACCGCCCATACTACCACTGCTTTCACTTTTCCCGGGTCTGTCTGACACTGTCCTTGTTTCTGTATGAAGCCAAGAAATGATACTGAGGAAACATGAATCTGAGACCAGATTGCTGGGGGCATGAGAAAAAGAGCAAGGTAAGTCAAACAAAGTACTTATTCACAATAAGTCTTGGCTGCAAGCAACTACTGGGAGTTCTGCAAAGCGCCAGCCAAGAAAGAGTCTCTCCTGAAGTTCTTTATACCCCTGGAGCTCATCAGGGAGATCTGCACCAGCTGCTGCTCATTGGCACTGCCCAGGAACCAGAAAGCTGTGGGAAAAAGCTAAAACCCTACACCTGAGCTTTCTCTTAGTTATTCTGCTATAGGCTTAAACTACTGGAGGACAAATTGACCTCATTTCTTCAAATGAATAGTTATAAATGAATACAAATGAATAGTTTGTATTTGTAATTATTTCTATCTTAACATGTTTTTTTGTATTTCTTCCAATAGAGAGTACGCCTGCACTTACACCTGGACCTGCTATTCTGCGTTTGTCTGTTTCTACTTCCTGTCCTCTCAAACCCAGCCAATCAAAGCAGATGGCCGCTGGTCCTAAGCCTGGTTCTGCTGGAGATTACTTCCTGTTAAAAGGGAGTTTTTTCTTTCCACTGTCTCCTTTGTGCTTGCTCATGATGGGAGACTGCTATGAAGTGAAGATTCGACACAATCTGCTGCTTCCTTTGATAGATAACGTTAAACGATTCTCTTTTATAATGTGAATGTTTCTGTTCAGTTAACTGAGACAAATTCTCTTGTGACTTGGTGCTATATAAATAAACTGAAATGAATTTAATTGAATTAAGTTTCATGTATGACATGATGATGATAGTGCAGTGCAGATTGTTTAGTGCTGAATTACTGTCCAATGTACACATCTGTTCTACAGACAAAATGTTTGACTAATTGAATTTACCGTGGTTCTCCCAACATTTGGATGCATCTTCGACCAGCCTCAGCCATTGTGAGGCCATGACTGACAACACGGTCCACAATTGTAGCCCTAATTTCATCATGATTCTGTGTACGTACTTAGCCTCTTCTGTCTCTTCCCTTGTTTTGTCCCCTTCCTCCCTGCATCCTTACCCCTCACAGTGTTGTTGAAATAGTTTACACCATGTTCTCAGTTCATATAAGCGTCTCGATTGAGGGTTCATGGGATTCAGCTCTAAGTGACTGTGGAGAAGAGACTTATTGTTGTTGACAAATAATGCTTCACACTCCTCCTTATTGAAAGCTAGCTGAGGTTCATCTGAGAGAAATTATTCAGTTTGGGAGACATTTTCAGAAAAAAATGATAAAGAAATGCATACAATTTGGTTGACAGATTTTGACAACTGGTTGAACATTTTTGTATGTAATGACTCTTAGGCAATGAAACAAGGACTATTAGTTTTACGGGGAATGACTTTTCATCATTCATAAGTATAGTTAGTTTTGACTGACATGACATAATCAAATAGTAAGGTTATAAAACAGCAGAGAATTATATGGAAGCAACTGATGCATGTCCAAAAGCACTTGCAATTTGTTGAAAGGAACGACAAACTGCTACTATGATGTTCACAAATGACTACATGTTGGGGAGGTTGAACTAACAGCTTTGATAATTTTAATTCCAATCAGAGAAATGCACCAAAGCAACTGAGAAAACCTGCAAATTCTCCACACTGCAGCTGAAAGTCTCTGTTGATGTGCATTAATGTATTTCTTCACATCAACTATTTAATAAATAATCTCTAAGATCTACCAAGCTCCTGAGTGTCTCTGTGTTTACAGTATTATGTTATTAAAAACACACGAGGAAAGTTGGACATGACAGACTCAGAAGTGTGCCACTGGCAAATCAGCACCCCCCCGGTTCACTTCATTTAACAACTGCAGCTTCATAATCACTCCTCGTTGTGTGGTTAACAGGTTTTCATACCCCACTGCTTATTTACGAGCATCTCTGACTCACATTCCCTCATTTCACATTTAGACATCATTTCTGATCATGCAGAACCCCATATTCAGGTGTGTCAGGGGGTGGAGTCTCTGTTCTACATTCATCAGGATGTATGAAGGCGAACAGAAACATGCATATGCATGATTTTTTTCAGTGCACACACTTCTCACTTTTTGTTTTATTGATGCGATCTGTCAGCACTCAGAGTATGAGCTGGGGATGACTCTCAGCTACTACCACACCAACAGCTCAGTGTCTGTGTAACTGACTGAGCTGTAGCCATGTTTGTGTTTTCTAACATTAGTTAGCTGTGGCAGCCATCTTGGAGTGTGTTGACTCCAAAAATTAATCAGCTGTAGATGTACATTTAGTGGTTATTTTTTAAGTTTGATTCAAACCTGTCCACTGGGTGAAGACATATTTTGCTAACAGACAGACATTCACATACAGGCAAAATCCTTATTGGACCCCTTTGTCCTTCAGCAGTGAGTGAAAGATCCTCAGAGAATATAGAGAAGTGTTGATAAATAAACAAATAAAAAACGATCCTGTTGTGCTGAAACCTTAAAGATTGGACTAGTTTGAATCCAGTTTGGCTTAGCTGCGTTCAGACTAGCCGTTAGCTCATCGTTCAGAATAAAAATCTAATATTTTACCTGATGAGTACTCTGTAAACAACAACTGTAAACAACCTCTGTAAACATCTCAATCTGGGAAAATATTTATTTGTACTGTTTACACATAAACTTGTTTTTTTTTTTTTTTACATTTATTGAATATTATACACATACAACTTCTGGTTGTTAACCAGTCATCATCAACATCAATAATATAAACAAATTGCCAGCGAGGACGTGAATTGATAATACACAGAAGTTGTCAAGTAGATTGGTCATGAAGCTTGAATTTGTCAAGAATCGTCTTTGTATAGATAGATTTCTTGTTGGGGATGTATTTGATATTTGAGACATAATTAAAAAGTTTTTGAAGAGCTGTCTTTTGTAGACGTGATCTTATAATTTTATTGGGGCATTTATTTTTGATGATGGCAACATCTCCAATCAATAACCCATTTTTAGGTTGATCATTAGTGTGCGTAGTTGCACCTCGATAGAGTTGCAGCATTCCGTTAGGTAGTGCAGAAAAGACTATTGCATATTCTCCTGATGTAGCAGGCAAATTAAATTTGCATGAAAAAATTTGTAAGAAAGGAGATTTCCTTCATCATTAAACAGCTGTTTAACCATTGTGATACCATGTTCCATCCAGTTGCTATAAAAGAGTGATTTATTCTTATATTATATGTTCCCATTATTCCAGATATAACAACTAGTATGAGAAAAGTTATGTTTGTAAGTACGTTTCCAGGCTATAAGAGCTTGTTTGTGGAAGTTTGACAGTTTTACTGGGAGTTTCTCAATTTTATAATCACACTTAAGTAAAAAATTTAGGCCCATGCAAAAGATTAAAAATATAGTTGGGAAAAGTGTTCCAGATTGATCCATTATTATTTATCAAACTGTTTAGCCATTTCACTTTAAATGAGTTGGTTAACGTTTCATAAGTTAAAACTTCTAGACCATCATATTTCCTAGGATTGCATAAAATATCTTTCTTCAGATAATGGTTTCTATTTTTCCATATGAAATTGAATAATGTTTGATCCGTTTTTTTAATTTTTTTATCTCTTTAGGCATATCAAGTGATAAAGATAAACAGATCTGCAGATACCTTCTTCCTTTGATAACAACACTACCATTTAAGGACAGATCTCTCATTAACCACATGTTAATTTTTTCAGTTATTCGTTCACTTATTGGATTAAAGTTGGTGGCGCTGCGTGACTTTTGACCTTTTTACACAGAAACAACTTCAGAAGGAGCAGAAAAGTCTTTAATGGCTCACCTGAAGGGCTGAAATAAATAGAATTTTGTTTCCACTGAGACATTTAAGGAATTTCTGTTAATCTGGCCTGTTAATCTGATAATCTGTGATAATCTGACTTTTTCTGCTTGTTCCCGTACATCAGAACACAAACAGATTGATTTTATTTTGGATGACATTAATCATTAAACATTCTGCTTCATTTTTGAGTTTTGATAAACTTCAGTTCCCAGAGTTCTGTGCGATTTAATTGGTGTTAAAAATAAAAGTCTCTACAGTGGGTCAATATATTCAGTTAGAAGCTTTTATTGTGAAATTGTGCTTCATTGTATCAGCTGTCTTGATTCACGCAGAGACCTGAACCTGATGAACTCGTCCATCAGACGGAGGTCTGCAGAGACTTTGAGTTGGTTTTAATCTGCGTTGCAACGGTTCGTGTGGCAGCAGGTCCAGCCGGGTCGAGAACAGAACTCCAGTCGAGTGCAGCCTTTCTCTCCAGTTTCTGCAGACAGGAAACACATCAGACCTGCTGCAGTAAAGGCTCTAACTTGTTTTAACAGGAAGTATCTTAACCAATCTGATAAATTTAGTCTTTCTGTAAATTCTGATGGTTTCATAGTTTTAGTGTTAGCCCAGATTCATCCATTCGTTCATTTCTGATCCTTGGACTTTTTTTCAGAAAGTTTCTGTGCAAAAGGTTTTAGTTACTGGTGCTCAAAAATGTTAAAGGTTCCAGAACAGCTTAACAGGATCATAGGAATGAAATCTGAGCCATGGCAGAACCAGACTCTTATTTTGAAGCGCTTTATTTTGAAACTCCAGATTGAGTCATTTTCCTGTTTCCTATCGACCCTCTGACTGAATCCTCCTGAACATCTAAGATCCAATCAGAGATGACATGAAGGATCTATAGGGGTTGTCATGATGAGACAGAGGAGGAAGAAAAGCATGCTGGGTAATACTGAAAACCCAGAGCCTGCTGAGTCACTGGTTGTCATGGTGAGGAGGGGTGGCACCCAACAGCACTTCAGACAGAAACAAAGAATAAAAAGTAAGCTTCAGACAGTGAACTTCTGACCATACTTGTCCTTTTGGTCAGTGGACATTTGTCCATACTTGTCCTGTTAGACAGTGGGCATGTGTCCATACTGTTGGATAAAAATATCCTCTATTCATTTATTACTTACTCAAAGAAGCCACACTCGAGGACACAAGAAGATTTTTAACTAGTTTTACTTGCAAGGGCAGACTTTCACAACATGTTACACAGATGTGCAGAAGTTTTACATGCATGGAGCCCAGTCATGAGAATCTGCCACGGGCAGAATGCAAGGTTTGTTTTTATACTCTTATCAGCTCTCACAGCTCACAGGCAGACAGTGGTGACCTCGGCCATACAGCTGCACATGCAGGATCAAATCAGCTCCTCATTCAGCTCTCTGACAGAGAAAAGAATTCTCTGCTAACTCAAGCACATGGTTCATGGGCAGTTAACATTCTCAGTTATAGTAGTTAAAAAACATCCATAAACCTTGACCAAAATCCCTTGACACATACTTATCCTGCTAGACAGTGAACTTGTGTCCATCCATCCATTTTCTTCTGCTTATCCAGGGTCAGGTCATGGGGGTAGCAGCCTAAGTAGGGAGGCCCGGACTTCCCTCCCCCAGTCACTTGGGCCAGCTCCTCCGGGGGAATCCCAAGACGCTCCCAGGCCAGCCTAGAAACATAGTCCCTCCAGCGTGTCCTGGGTCTTCCTCTGGGTCTCCTCCTGGTGGGACGTGCCCGGAACACCTCGCCAGGGAGGTGTCCAGGAGGCATCCTAACCAGATGCCCGAGCCACCTGAACTGGCTCCTCTCGATCTGGAGAAGCAGTGGCTCTGCTCTGAGTCCCTCCCGGATGATCGAGCTTCTCACCCTATCTCTAAGGGAGAGCCCAGACACCCTGTGGAGAAAACTCATTTCGGCCACCTGTATTCGTGATCTTGTTCTTTCGGTCACAACACAAAGCTCATGACCATAGATGAGGGTAGGAACATAGATCGACCGGTAAATTCAGAGCTTCGCCTTTTGACTCAGCTCTCTCTTCACCACGACAGACTGGTACAGCGCCCTCTTCACTGCAGACGCTGCACCTATCCGCCTATCAATCTCGCGCTCCATTTTCCCCTCATTCTGAACAAGATCCCAAGATACTTAAACTCCTCCACTTGGGGCAGGACCTCCTCCTCGATCTGAAGAGGGCACTCTACCTTTTTCCGACTCAAGACCATGGCCTCAGATTTGGAGGAACTGATCCTCATCCCGGCTGCGTCTCACTCGGCTGCAACCCGCTCCAGCGAAAGCTGTAGATCACCACCTGATGAAGCCAATAGGACTACATCATCTGCAAAAAACAGCGAAGCGATCCTAAGGCCACTAAAACGGATCCCCTCAACACATTGGCTGTGCCTAGAAATTCTGTCCATAAAAGTTATGAACAGAATCGGAGACAAAGGGCAACCTTGGCAGAGTCCAACTATCACTGGGAACGAGCCCGACTTACTGCTGGCAATGCAGACCAAGGTCTGACACCGGTCGTGCAGGGACCCAACAGCCCATATCAAAGGGCCTGGTACCGCATACTCCCAGAGTACCCCCCACAGGGCTCCCCGAGGGGTGCAGTTGAATGCCTTCTCCAAGTCCACAAAGCACATGTAGACTGGTTGGGCAAACTCCCACGCACCCTCCAGGACCCTGCTGAGGGTGCAGAGCTGGTCCATTGTTCCATGACCAGGACGAAAACCACACTGCTCCTCCTGAATCCGAGGTTCGACTATCCGACGGACCCTCCTATCCAGAACTCCTGAATAGACCTTACCAGGGAGGCTTAAGAGTGTGATCCCCCTGTAATTGGAACACACTCTATGGTCCCCCTTTTTGAATAGGGGGACCACCGCCCCAGTCTGCCAATCCAGGGGAACTGCCCCTGATGTCCACGTAATATTGCAGAGTCATGTAAGCCAACAAAACACCAGTCTTAAGGAACTCCGGGTGAATCTCATCCACCCCTGGGGCCCTGTCACCGAGGAGCTTTTTAACTACATCGGTGACCTCAGCACCAGAGATTGGAGAGCCTGACCCAAAGTCCTCAGACTCCGCTTTCTCAGTGGTGGGATTAAGGAGGTCTTCAATGTATTCTGCCCACTGACCCACGACATCCCAAGTTGAGGTCAGCAGCACACCACCTCCACTATAAATAGTGTTGGTGGCGTACCGATTTCCCCACCTGAGACTCCGGATGGTGGACCATAATCGCCTAGAAGCTGTACGGAAGTCATTCTCCATGGCCTCTCCAAACTTCTCCCACACCTGAGTTTTTGCCTGAGCGACCACCCAAGCCGCATGCCGCTTGGACTGTTGGTACCCATCAGCTGCTTCCGGGCTCCCACAGGCCAAAAAGGTCAGATAGGATTCTTTCTTCAGCCTGACAGCATCCCTCACTGCCGGTGTCCATCACTGGGTTCGAGGGTTACTGCCGCAACAGGCACGACAACCTTGCGGCCACAGCTCTGATAAGCTGCTTCGACAATAGAGGCGTGAAACATGACCCACTTGGACGAAGTGTCCCCCACCTCCCCCGGAAGGTGTTTGAAGCTCTCCTGGAGGTGGGAGTTAAAGCTCCGTCTCACAGGAGACTCTGCCAGATGTTCCCAGCAGACTCTCACAATACATTTGGGTCTGCCAGGTCTGACCAGCATCCTCTCCCACCATTGGAGCCCACTCACCACCAGGTAGTGGTCAGTGGACAACTCCACCCCTCTCTTCACCTGAGTGTCCAAGACATACGGCCACAGATCAAATGAGACAACAACAACGTCGATCATCGAACCGTGGCCTAGGGTGTCCTGGTGCCAAGAGCACATATGGACACACTTATGCTTGAACATGGTGTTTGTTATGGACAATCCATGATGAGCACAGAAGTCCAATAACAGAACACCACTCGGGTTCAGATCAGATGGGCCGTTCCTCCCAACCACACCTCTCCAGGTCTCATAGTCATTGCCCACGTGAACGTTGAAGTCCCCCAGTAGAATAAGGGAGTCCCCAGGAGGCACACTCTCCAGTACCCCCTCCAAGGATTCCAAAAAGGGTGGGTAATCTGAGCTGCTGTTTGGCGCATAAGCACAAACAACAGCAAGAACCCATCCCCCCACATGTAGTTGGAGGGAGGCTACCCTCTCATTCACCGGGGTGAACCCCAACGTACAGGCACCAAGATGGGGGGCAACAAGTATGACCACTCCTGCTCGGCGCCTCTCACCAGGGGCAACTCCAGAGTGGAAGAGTGTCCAACCCGTCTCAAGGAAACTGGTTCCAGAGCCAGAGCCATGCGTCAAGGTGAGTCTGACTTTTTCTAGCCGGAACCTCTCAACCTCACGCATCAGTTCAGGCTCCTTCCCCACCAGAGAGGTGACATTCCATGTCCCAATAGCCAGCTTCTGTAGCCGAGGATCAGACTGCCAGGGTCCCTGCCCTCGGCCACCACCCATCCCACATTGCACCTGACCCCTTTGGCCCCTCCCACAGCTAGTGAGCCCATGGGAAGGGGGGCCCATGTCTCCTCTTCGGGCTTTGCCCAGCTGGACTCCATGGGTAAAAGCCCAGCCACCAGGCACTTGCCAGTGTGTCCCACCTCCAAACCTGGCTCCAGAGTGGGGCCCCAGTGACCCACGTCCGGGCGAGGAACACTGTTTCCATCCATCTTTTTCATCATAAGGGGTCTCTGGGCTGCACTTTGTCTGGTCCCTCACCTTGGACCTGTCTGCCTTGGGTGACCCTAATAGACTTGTGCCCATACTTGTCTTTTTAGACAGTGGACTTGTGTCCATACATGTCTTGTTAGACAGTAGACTTGTGTCCATACTTGTCCTGTTAGCCAGTGGACTTGTGTCCATACTTGTTCTTTTAGACAGTGGACTTGTGTCCATACTTGTCCTGTTAGACAGTGGACTTGTGTCCATACTTACTGTATGCCTGAATTATACCTATTGGAAAATTATATTGGGATGACAGGAACGACTCTAAAATGGTTTAACTCATGTTTACCTGACAGATTCCAGTTTATTTATGTTAGTAATTAATCATCTTCAAACACCAGAGTTAGTCATAGAGTTCCTCAGAGTTCTGTGTTTGGACCTTTTTCATCATATTTGTTTCCACTGGGTAAAATTAGGTAAAATAATAATTATGCTGATGATACTTCATTATATTTCCATGAATATAGATTAATCCAATCAGTTACTCAGATTACAAGTTTGTCTCAGAAGTATAAAACCTGTATGACTCTGAATTTTCTGTTTTTTAAACTCAGACAGAGGTTGTGGTTTTTGTCATTAAACCTCCACAATAAACATGTTACCAGGACTGCTCTCTGTTTTGTAAGTAAGTAAGTAAGTAAACTTTGTTTATATAGCACTTATCATAGATACAATCACAAAGTGCTGTACAACAATAAAGAAATAAAAGCTTAAAATAAAATAAAAATAATAACAACTCATTGATAAAAACAGTAAAAACAGCTGGAAAAAACAGTAAAACATTTAACTAAAAGCTTGTCGAAATAAAAATGTCTTAAGCTGCATTTTAAAAGAATCAACAGAGACGTTCACACGGAGAGACAGGGGCAGGGCATTCCACAGGCGGGGGGCTACGGCCTGAAAGGACAGGTCACCCCGAGTTTTAAACCGGGTCTTAGGAACCTTAAGAAGGTTCAGCGCTGAAGACCGAAGGGTGCGGGCTGGAGAATAAGGAATCAACATTTCAGTGATGTACTGGGGGGGCCTGTCCATTTAAAGCTCTAAAAGTCAAAACTAAGATTTTAAAATTAATTCTAAATTCAACAGGCAGCCAATGAAGAGAAGATAAAACAGGTGTAATGTGAGCCCTTCTGTTAGTTCCTGTTAAAAGCCTCGCAGCAGAGTTCTGGACCAATTGGAGACGAGCGACGGCAGTTTTGTTAAAACAAGTAAAAAGGGAATTACAATAATCTAAACGAGAAGAAATAAAAGCATGAATAATCATCTCCATGTCAGATCTGGATAACATTGCCCTCAGTTTAGAAATTTGTCTGTGTCTCTTTCCTGTACTCTCTAACCCCAGCCATTCGAGGCGGATGGCTGCCCATCCTGAGTCTGGTTCTGGTTCTGCTGGAAGTTTCTTCCTGTTAAAAATGAGTTGTTTCTTTCTTCTGTCACCAATGTGCTGCTCAGGATGGGAAATTACGATGAAGTGGAGATTTGATGCAATCCGCCAGGGCCCTTATGTAGATAACTTCTTACTAATTAGCATTTTATAATGTATTTGAATGTTTTTGTGGTCAACTGAGGCAACAGTTGAACTGGCACTGAATAAATACAGTGTAAACTGAATAGAACTGAAAATGTGTAGGTCTCACCTCGGGTGTAGCAGGCCTGTTGGACTTTGCCCGTGCACTGCAACAGCTGGTTGTTGACCATCAGGAAATCTTCACCGTAACACTCGATGTAAAACTTCTGAGCTGAAGCTAAGATCAAAAGAAGGGAAACATAAAAAAGTTCTAACCAACAAATACACACCTGATATGATCCACACCTGACACACACTTTGTGTTTCTAAGATCAACAACCTGCTGTTTTCAAACTAAATCTTGTAGATCAACATTTGATCAAGATCAAAATACAACTGCCTCCAGATTTCAGGTCAGATGACGCAGGTGAGACAGACTCAATGTATTTACCTGAGCAGAGGGGCAGCAGCAGGAGCAGCAGCAGATAAACCTTCATGTTTCTAGTTTTTGGTGTAGATGAGATCAAGCGAGAAGAGATGAGGTCTGATGAGATCAGAACCAAACAGGACTTTTATCTTATGCTAAAGCAAACAGAGACGGAGTCAAACAGTGATGAACTTATCAGAATTACGTCAGGAAATAAACAGAGGAAGTTTGTTTGTTTCACCTTTGATCTGACCACAAATCTGCTGATGTTCAGCTGAGTCATGCTTCAGTCTGGAGTCTGAGCTGAATTCTGCTGTGTCATGTTTTGTTCTGGATTTAAAATCTGAGATTTGTTCTTTTTGGACTCTTGGGAAAAGGAGATAAAATTCTGAGACACGTTTTATAAAAACATTTAAGGAGGGCTTTGGGTTTGTCTTTCTTTCATACATTAAAAAAAAAAAACGTAGAGAAATGTAAAAAGGTTATTTGACCAGGTACATGTTTGTGATTGCAGTGGATCCACTCAGAACCGGATCAGTTCAGAGTCTGGACTGGGCTGGTCCTGATTACATTCCTGACCACAGGTACTGATGACAAGGCCTCCTCTCCTGACACGAGGAGTGTTAACAACTGCACCATGATCTTGGTATCATCTAGAATAGCTTTTCCCTCGTGTTCCAATCCCTGTCTAGAATCAGAAATAAAGTTTTTGACATGTTTCAAACATTTTGATGAATAGAAAGCAAGAAAATAAGCAAATCCGGAGAAATTAATATAAACATTTGGTGTCACATAATACCAGGGTTGTGCTTGATAGCTGTGTTTGTACTGAAACGTTATACTTTATTCTTTTTATATTAATAATGAACATGAAATATGTCAAAATATTTGTTGAAATAGGCCCAAATAATCTGACAGTCATGTAAAGACTTGACCTCAGAAGCAGAATTAATTTTTTACACAGTATAGATGTTTGCCTTCACTAGCAGCTGAAGGAGTTTAATATCAGAACTAATAGTCACCTGAGATGTTTGTATGTAAGTTTTGTAGGATAATATTTTTCTGTGGAAGGGCATGATGTATCATACACCTAATATTGTATTTCTGTATCTCGCCCCAACCATTTCTTAGTTTTGATGCCTTTAACTTCAGTTTATGGAAGTTCCTCCAATGTGTTTATTTCTGCATCATATTCAGATAAATCACTTTTGCGTCAGGAAAGGCGTAAAAATAATTGCCAAGTTTTCGTGCGACTTAGTTCGCTGTGGCAATCTCTGAAGAAGGGAGCAGCCGAAAGAAAAGAAAAATCAGATCAATCACTTACCTACCCTCACTTTAAAATTTCCTGGTTCTTTATCTCCACACAACAGCCTTATTGATCACTCCAGATCATTGTTGCAACAGCAACATCATCAACATTACACAGCAATGTTTTTCCCATCAGAGTAGCTGGCGGGTCACATGCCTGAAAACTATCCAAAGTAACCAAACGTGATTTTCTCAAATACAGTATATATCTGGACAATGATTTTGTTTCACTAGATCATAATGTAAATACTATTCCAGGACTTACGGCTCAGTAAATCATCGCCTCAACTGTCCAACCCATCTGTTCTCTGATCGGATAGTTAGTTTAAGATTGACATAACATTGACCAATAAACTGTGAGGAAGGAAAATCTGGGCAAAATTTGTACTTGAAGTTGAAACTCACTGGCAGAGTATTATAGTGTGCATAGCTTTTTTTTATTCATATCTGTAAACAGGCCTTCACAAAAAAGATCTGTAATGTGTGTAACTATTTTTTACAAATACAAATCTTTTTTAAACACACATTCCTATCTCCACGTGCACAAATCACAAATTTATTTTACAAGGTTACAAATGGAATCTGTGCCCATACAGTTTTATCACACAGAACAGTGCCACAGATGTTGCAAGTTTTAAGAGAGCGTGCAGTTGGTGCATTGACTGCAGGAATGTCCATTTTCAGAGAATTTGGCAGTACATCTAACCAGTCTCACAACCGTAGACCACACGTAAACACACTAGTCCCTGTGTTCGTTGTCCATAACATACGCCTGCTCATACCATAACCCCTCCGCCACCATGGGCCACTCGATTTACAATGTTGACATCAGCAAACTGTTCACCTACATGATGCCAAACATACAGTCTGCCATCTGCCCAGTACAGTGAAAACTGTGATTCATCTGTGAAGGGAACACCTCTCCAATGTGCCATACATATCATGGTAAACAGTTTGAACCCTGCACCAATGCTGCAAGCCTTGCTGCCTTCCACTTGGTCTTTTGTTAACCCCGGCCTCGGCTGATCCGGTATGGTGTCGCTTACATGAACCAACATGTTAATTTTGGCAAAAGTGTTTTATGTTGGATGCCCTTCCAGACACAGTCCTCACCATTTACCTGGGCTTGGGACTGGCACAAGAGAGATACTGGCTTGTGCTCCCAGGTGACTGGTTTTCTGCTCCTGAATAAACCAAAGCTTGAAAATATTTATTTTGGTTTTTGACACAAATGTTAATCAGCAATATTGACCAGGACATGTTGTTCTCTCTACTATCCTTGAGCTGGTTATCTATCCTGATTGCAAGATTTATCAGAAGGTCTAATGACTCTGGCTCTTCTCTGGCCACAAAATAGTTCATTATCTGTTCATATACAGGTGCTGGTCATAAAATTAGAATATCATGAAAAGTTGATTTGTTTCAGTAATTCCATTCAAAAAATGAAACTTGTATATTATATTCATTCATTACACACAGACTGATATATTTCAAATGTTTATTTATTTTAATGTTGATGATTATAACTGACAACTAATGAAAACCCCAAATTCAGTATCTCAGAAAATTAGAATATTGTGAAAAGGTTCAATATTAAAGACACCTGGTGCCACAGTCTAATCAGCTAATTAACTCAAAACACCTGCAAAGGCATTTAAATGGTCTCTGGCTAGTTCTGTAGACTACACAATCATGGGGAAGACTGCTGACTTGACAGTTGTCCAAAAGATGACCATTGACATCTTTCACAATGAGGACAAGACACAAAAGGTCATTGCTAAAGAGGCTGGCTGTTCACAGAGCTCTGTGTCCAAGCACATTAATAGAGAGATGAAGGGAAGGAAATTATGTGGTAGAAAATAGTGTACAAGCAATAGGGATAACCGCATCCTGGAGAGGATGGTGAAACAAAACCCATTCCAAAATGTGGGGGAGATTCACAAAAAGTGGACTGCAGCTGAAATCAGTTCTTCATGAACCACCATGCACAGAAGTAAGCAAGACATGGTTTCAGCTGTCACATTCCTTGTGTCAAGCCACTCTTGACCAAGAGACAGCATCAGAAGCTTATCACTTGGGCTAAAGACAAAAAGGGCTTGACTACTGCTGAGTGGTCCAAAGTTATGTTCTCTGATGAAAGTAAATTTTCCATTTTGTTTGGAAATCAAGGTTCCAGAGTCTGGAGGAAGAGAGGCGAGGCACAGAATCCACGTTGCTTGAGGTCCAGTGTCAAGTTTCTATAGTCATTGATGGTTTGGGGTGCCATGTCATCTGCTGGTGTTGGCCCACTGTGTTTTCTGAGGTCCAAGGTCAACACAGCCGTCTATCAGGAAGTTTTAGAGCACTTTATGCTTCCTGCTGCTGACCAACTTTATGGAGATGTAGATTTCAATTTCCAACAGGCCTTGGCACCTGCACACAGTGCCAAAGCTACCAGTACTTGGTTTAAGGACCATGGTATTCCCAAATTCAGTATCTCAGAAAATTAGAATATTACTTAAGACCAAATAAAAAAAAAAGATTTTTAGAAATGTTGGCCAACTGAAAAGTATAAACATGAAAAGTATGGTAAATGGACTGTACTTATATAGCGCCTTTCTATCTTATCGAGATACTCAAAGCGCTTTACACTACAATCTGTGTCCTCATTTACCCATTCATACAGCACTCTACTAGATCTCTACAAAGCTAATTGAACAAATCATTCTAAAGAGAATAATCAGAGCTTTATCACATTCATACACCGATGGGACACACATCAGAGGCAACGAGGGATTCAATGTCTTGCCCAGGGACACTTCGGCATGTGACTGCTGGTGCATTCGAACCCCCAACTCTTGCATTGGAGGACGACTGCTCTAACCACTCAGCCACAGCCGCCCACATAAGTATGAGCATGTACAGCACTCAATTGGAGCTCCTTTTGCCTGGATTACTGCAGCAATGCGGCGTGGCATGGAGTCGATCAGTCTGTGGCACTGCTCAGGTGTTATGAGAGCCCAGTTTGCTCTGATAGTGGCCTTCAGCTCTTCTGAATTGTTGGGTCTGGTGTATCACAGCTTCCTCTTCACAATACCACAGAAATTTTCTAAGGGGTTAAGGTCAGGCGAGTTTGCTGGTCAATTAAGAACAGGGTTTTCATTAGTTGTCAGTTATAGTCATCAACATTAAAATAAATAAACATTTGAAATATATCAGTCAGTGTGTAATGAATGAATATAATATACAAGTTTCACTTTTTGAATGGAATTACTGAAATAAATCAACGTTTCCATGATATTCTAATTTTATGACCAGCACCTGTATGGTACTTTGCCACTGTCTCAACTCTTACCGGTTCCACCCTACACTGTATCAGTTAAGAGCCTGCCCACTGTCGGTACCTACTCCACTCAGCCCAGTTTATGAGACCACCTTGTTAGAATATCTAAGTGAGCTGCTCTAAGGTGACAATTTTGATGTAAGGCCGTTGATCGACCTGCACAGCAAAACAGCAAACTACATCTGAACTGATACTTCTTCATCATGCTGACTAATGGCACCACAAGAAATGAGCACATTTACTGAGAGATATCAGAGATGATGGCAGCATGACTACACCTATAAGTAGTGCTGGGATAAGCTAAAGAAACTGAAGTCAGATTATAGCGTGATTAAGGACCACAACTGGGTGGAGTGGCTAAAACACAATGACCTGTTATGATACCGCCCACTTTGCATTGACGATCTCACCCACAGAGCGGGGAAACAAGTCACAGTGACAAATCACCGCCACCTGAGAATCTTCACCAGCATGCTCCACCTGAGAAGAACCGTTAAGACTATAGCCGAGTGGAGTCGCTCTTAATCATGGCAA